AAAAAAAAAAAATGTTAACGGGATGGGTCACCATTTTATTACCTTTTACCCTATTGGGCTCCCCTATTTTTATTCATGGTTGCCAGTTTCTATTCCTTCCCCCCAATCAACTGTACCTTTTCTTTCTAGGATGTGGATTTGCAGTTACACACTAAATTTTTATTTAGTAGCACATAGTTCAGATGTCAGATCGAATGTGGTTTATCATTCCAATCTTTAACAAGCACTCCTCGGTTGGCGGGGATGTGAGTTTCTCTCACATCTTATGGCCTTTTTATTTTTATTTGTGCCAACTTTTTGCTCCTTAAGCTGTTGTTATTACTTATAATTTTCTTCATTAATTTGGTTACACTTATTACACTTTATTAATTTTATATTATGGCACTTATATAGTTGGGGAGATGTTATATTATCTCCCCAGTTTTGTAACTACGTATTTTATTAGCTTCGTCATTAATAAATGACAATTATCAATCATATGGACTTTTCTTATTTACTTTGGAGCAAAAACAGCTTCGTTGTGCTTGTTAACATTTGGCTACATAAATATCACTGTCCAATGAACTAAATCACATCGAAAACACGCAATATTTAGAAGGTCATTTTTTATTTTTTCAACTGCAAAGTGAAAGCAGGCCAAAACAGCAAAGATAATAAATCAAATTGTTTCCGAATAAGTTTCATCTTATGCATCAAATCAATTCAAAATTATGCACAGTTGACAAGAGCATTCTTGTGTATTTATCTGAATACTGCGGATATTTTGTTTTTCGCGTTTATGGCTTTCAAGTTTATTTCGGGCAACACAAGATGGCGTGCCAGGTCTTTTTGCCGCAGTGGGTATGAGAACAATCCGCATTTTTCCCAGAACCACACGCTCCTTGGACAAAGAACCCACTTGGACAGGTCAAGAAGTGACCCCAGTAGCCACATCTCCAAATGCAGGATCCACGTTTGGCTCTTACCATGACCTTAAATGATAAAACATAAGGGACTGTCAAAAAAGTGTTTCTACGGTACTCACTGGAATAAAAATTCATAAGGCTCAATATAATATCATCAAACTTGAGTAGCTTATGTAGTAGTAATAATGGATATATTCGACTATTTTGAACGCCAAATAATAGACCTTTTTGTTCCTACAAAAATAAATCGTAAAAAAAATACCTGAGATGTTATAAATTCAAGGATGTTGAAGCAGATGTATACATAGCCCATGCAGTCAGGCAAATTTAATATAGCAATGCAGTACATGGGGTGCAACTTCATTCAGTACAATGATATGATGTATATATACCGCTGTATCTATATGCCATTTACCATTTGGTTTAGAAATGAAAAATGCTTCGGGAGATAGCCATAAGATATAATAGACAAAGAGGAAATAGACAATACAATCGTACAGAAAAAACGTATACCATTCGCATGTATTCTGTTTCCCGACCACCTCTCTCTCTCCCTACCTTTTGAAAGCTTCCATTTTAGGATAATTATTTTGTAAACACAAATAAGAAAAAATTAACACACATAATTCACACATCACATAATCCGTTCATTCAATACAATCACCTTTATGTCTAAACATATGTATCTACCCTTCATTTTATCAGCAGATGTTGAAGAAAGAAGTCCAGTAACACTTATTGTTGTAATTTTATTTTATAGTTTACATCTTTACCTCGTTATTTCTGCCCTCTACGCTTCGAGATTCGTCCAAAGGAGCAGCGACCGAGACAGTCGCCAGGTAAAGCACGACAAGGAAACAGATCAACACTCGGGTCTCCATTTTTAGTCGATCTGTAAAAAGATAATGATAAAAATGAATATTGAGTGACATAACATCAACAAAAAAAGCAGTCACTGATAAAATATCACGTTAATAATAGTAATGTAAAATATTTTGAAAGAAAATATAAGGATGAGAAAAAAAGGTTAGATTGGAACCTATGAATAATCTGTTCCGCCGTTTTCACTCGCGAAATGCCAACAAATAATATTCTCATATTCTTCAGTGATCGGTAAGTTATCATTTTCAAATCATTATAACTCTTAAAAGCACGACGATAAAAATCTAAAAGTATAAAACAAAAGCACTTACGTTGTAACCAGCTGTAACCTCTGTAAACTCTACGCTTCCAGGTTTCCAGGGGGAATGGATGTTCTACCGTTAATCTTCGCTCTTAAATCCCATCCTAAGTCACGAAAGAGAAGTCAAAATCAGGAACTAAAGTCTCTTTTAAGTAGTAAATTAAAATAATTATATATCCACCCATTTAAAGTTGACAGAAAAGGGAGATACTAAAACAGTGGGAATACATATAGATTGATGTCTTTTTAGTCATTAGGTTCTTTTTATCTCTTTACCATAGTCACCACACCTGATATAATTTGGGGTAAGCCAGTCCCAGGTCCGAGCGTTAAGTAGCTTTCCTACTTGGAGAAGGCTTATTCATGTTTAGGGCAAAAATACTATAATGTATTCCCAGCATTAAGTTTTATTAATCTTGTTTACAAGTCGGACACAAATATATATTCAGAAACAGAGTCAAGTAAAAGTTATATTTAGCCCGTGTCCGGGTATAAAAATATAGAGATGACAAAGCGAAAAATTTTAAGTATAGACACGTCTGATAGAGGCATTTAAATGAGAAAAAAAATCTAATTTAAGTTTAGGTGATTCTAATATATTTTATGGTATTTAAGTACTTTAAGCCAGAATCTCCAAAATGATGAGCTGACTTTAAAAATATAAATTATCAAAAAATGGTTCTACAGAAATTAAGTGGTTAAGTTGACAAATTAAAGAATTCAGCAGAAGAGGACAATGTGAAAGTTTTCACTAATTTTGGTAAAATAAAATGTGGTCAGGAATGTGTACACAAATGTAATATGAAAAGCTTGGGCTTGGGTGATTTGAAGGCATTGAGTGGTGTAATTCACGAGGTATTGCAAGCAATTGGGGTGATACATAAGAACGAAACATACTTGAAGCCAGTAGAGGGCAAAATCCAAGAAACGCAAGCCCTGAGTTTTTTCCTCAATAGTTTCTAGATTCTGTCAATTCTGGCATTTTTTTTTTTTTTGGGGGGGGGGGGGAAATTAAGGAAACAAGGCATCGTTAAATTTGTTACTTCAAGAAAAAAACTTTCAAAAAGGAAGCATTGCACACATGTGTTCACTTAAAGTTTGCCTATCACAGCAAGTAAAAGTCTCAATTTAAGTCAATTTCTCCCATCTCTACTTTTATCTCGTGTGTCACTGCCTGAATCAAACCACCGAGGCATTTCTCATTAAATTTGTTTGCGCGTTCCTGTCCACATTTTAGTTTACCAAAATTAGTGAAAACTTCCTCGCTGTCCCTTTTCACCGAATTCTTTAATTTTTCAACTTTAAAATCACTTAAGTTCTTTAGAATAACTTATATTGTCGAGGTCAGCTGGCTCCAACACATCATTTTGGAGATTCTGACAAAATGTACTTCAATAACGTAAAATACTAAACCACTTAACATATCTTTGCATATTCTCAGGATAAGTCAAGAGGGAGTACACGGGCAGCCAGGAGCTACGGGGAGTGAGTCATATATTTCAGCCCCTGTATATAAGATGGTCCTTAAAATAAAATTGCTGTTTTATGATTTTTCTTGAATTAACCGTCATTGTAATCTTCACCAGTTGTGATTGTATGTAATATCTTGTCACCGTTCTTGAATTGTTCATGTTAGTGTGACCCCGTGCACCAGTATGTGTGTGTCGAGTGTGGGTGACAGTGTGAGTGTGTGCACGCACGCGCGTGCGTGTAGGTGAAATTGCTTTTGTGCACTACATTGGGATATGATCTAGAATTTTGAAAATTGTAATGAAATTTATTTTGTCGACTTTTAAACTTGGTAATTCAAATTTCCATAAATGCTGTACGTTTATTTAAATAACTAATAAATGTTTATATTCAAATTGTTTCTCCTTAAATAGATCTTTGATGACACAAGTGACCTTGATTACCTATGAAACCCCTGCTAAAAGTGAAATTCTTGAAATGATAAAAATTAATTATTTCCTTGTTTTTTTTACATCGTAAAGATTCGCCTAAACTTCCAAATGGCTATTCCTGATTTATAGGCCTTTATCGCCATGTCATCACTACATTTGATACCCGGACACGGGCTAAATATTCATTTTCATTCTACTCTGTCCCTGAATATGCAGTATATTTGTGTCCGGCTTGTTAACAAGAATAATAAAACTTAATACAGGGACTACATTACTTCTTTTAGGTCTTCTCCAGGTAGGAAGGATACTTACATGGAAAACTCGGACCTGGGACTGACTTGCCCCAAATTATATCAATTAATATGTTTACACATGGTGACAGTTGGTTACAGTATATAATGAAAGGGACATGTAAATTGCATGTGTTGATTTTTTCTCTTTTTGTGTGTACGAATTAATGCAAAAGTGAAGCTTTTGAGAGAGAGAGAGAGAGAGAGAGAGAGATGGAGTGGAGAGACAGATTCACGTAGAATTCACACCACTTTGGCATCAATTTTTACACAGGTTTATACATGAAGATCAGAATTCTGGGAAGGGTTTGGGGTAGGGTATAGTTGGAGATAAATGGGAAATTGTTGACACTTCTATACAACATTATATTTGTGATGGCTGGCTTTTGCCTTGTCATAATGTCGCATTGCTAATCCCTCAATTTCGCTGTCCATAGGGGCATATTGCAACAATCCAAAATATTCTTAGAGTATTTTCTTTTTTCTGTCATGCGGTATGGGGTTGTCTCCCGATCTCCGTTGTACTGAATGACATAACACCCGCTGTGCTGCATCCATATCCCCTCAGGTATTTGAACGATTTTTTGTCAAAAAAGGTCCATTTTTGCAGTTCAAAAATACCTCAAAACATTCGTTTTCACAGCTACGAGGCACTGTAAGGTACTGAAGATTTAGAAATCTAATTTAATCATTATAAATTTACATTACAGTGAGAAGATACTCCTACATGACAGTGTCTCATATTTTATCATTTTAAGCCACGGTAAGAGCCAGCGTGGGTCTTGCATTTGGAGATGTGGCTACTGGGGTCATTTCTTGACCTGTCCAAGTGGGTTCTTCGTCCAGGGAGCGTGTGGCTCTGGAAAAAATGCGTATTGTTCTCATACCCACTGCGGCAAAAAGACCTGTGCCCCGTATCTCGAAAGCATCGCGCATTGCGACCGAGCGCAAGCGACTCGATTCCCTAACTCGCCAATACGCGATGCTTTCGAGTTACGGGCCCCTGGCACTCCATCTATAGTTGTCCGACATAAACTCGACAGCCAGAAAATTGAACCCTACACTGATGCTCATAATTCAGCAACACTTTCATATTTCTCGAATTTCTCAGCAACCAAAATTTTTATTGACAAAATTTGTACAATGGNCAATATTTCTTCTGTTTGTTTCAGTACTTCACCTGTATTATAAAGGATGCATCTTCGGTGACTCACCCATGCGTCTCTGAAATAAAGGTCTATCCTACCCTTTGATATCACAAGGGTCTCTAGTATAGCCTGCTACAAAGCAAAGTCGATTTAACCAATTTGAAAAAGACTACTAAAGACACCTGTGGTCAAGGAATATCTCAAATACGGACATCGTTTTTCAGTTGATTTTCATGAAGTCATTTCTCCGTGATCCTCCAATACTCAAAATACTGGTTCGAACAACAAAGCATTAGCCACTTATTAAATCAAGTAAGCGCTTTTTGATTTAAAGTATCGTACAAGGTTTGAACCTCGAATTAATTTTTTCTTGAAAAAAAGTAATTTCTTCTTACATAAACCATTGCTCAACCAATCCCAGCACTTGGGTAGATGCTTTATATAATATCTAATTATATAATCTCACTTTAAAGGGCTGATCAGTCATTTAGAACGTCAAGTATTCCTGTATTTTTCAAAAAGAAATATCCATGTCAAGAACTTTGTTTTGAGGGTTTTTATTTGGTCGCATATGAACTGAGGACTTAGTGGCTTTGAGAGATATGCGGGCAATGACAATATGACTTTTTAGCATATTCAAATGCAATCAGTACACTTTTGAAGAAATTGAAAAACAATCCATATAAAATGTTCAGTAGACTTAACAGGGATAAAAATGAGCAGAATGAGATGAATAAATATGAGCAGAATCAGATAGTAAAATATATACGTGTAGGAAAAGATAAAAAGCCAGTCAATAAATCTAATTAACAAGATACAGAGTATAATTGCTAAAACTCGGCAACTCAAATTGCAAAGAAGTAAAATGTATTTTGTGCCTTAATGAGCATCTACACATATGTATGTATAAAAATAACCCTTTCTTCTGTTAATCTACAAATTAGTTCTTTTCTAAGGAGCGTTGTGCCGTCGTGTTTTTTCTGATGTTTATTTGTGCAGCGAAACAACTTGAAGTAATTATTGGATTTCTTGCACCGAGCCTCAAGGCCTTAGAGCTTTTCAGAGCTTTAGAGCTTTTTAATTAATAATTATCTGTGTACTGAGGACCGAGGTGAACATGGTAATGCAGGGGCACTGCTTGTGGGGGGGGGGGGGGGGGGGGGGAAGACGACGCTTTTGTCCATGAGCTTGCTGACCAGCTCAGACTTATGGCAGCTGCAAAGGAGGCTAGTCTACGTCGACTAGCAACAAATAAAAAACGAGATAAGCAGCCTTTTAGATTATTTGTGAAACGCACTTAGTGACGCACGGACTAAATAACATAGGTAACCAAGCTCCTAGTCAGGGAACCCGATTTAAGTTTCCTGTGAAACGGGGGCCTGGTAAATTTGAGACCAATCCATATAAGTGGCATTGTGAAGAACATAAAACAACTTTTTATAAAACATCATGCTTCAAGTCTTGTTCTCTTTTTTTTCTATTAAAATCATTATGCTCTTGTCAAACAGGGTTGATGAAAGTTCAATGCAATGTAGCAATAAGATGAACAACGCCTCCGGCCAATAATGACTGTATGTAACCACAGTTCCATTATGTCATTTATATATGTAATAAACGTAGTCGTGATCAGACCGTCTTGAGAAAAGTGAAAAGAAGTTTAAACGTTCATATTATGGCTTATTGCTAGGTCAACATTTAAAAATGTCATATGTAATACATGATTATCATCAATTAATTCAAAACATTATAGATTATTTGAAGTAGAATTGTGTACAAAATTTA